TATAAACTTTTATATTTTTTTATATTTATTCATTCATTTTTTATTAAATATTTTTTACATTACTTTTAGGGGCTTCGGGGAAATATTGGGGGTCTAAACAGATCCCTGATATTTCCCTTTTAAAATAGAAAAAGAGATTTAGGACAAAGTCCCCTATCTCTTCTTCTGTGTCCCTTGTTATCAATGAACAGGAATCCTCTATGAGTGTTCCTGTTCATTCATAACATGAGGACAGAGTGTGTTTACTATAACTACAACTATGAATGAACATGAGGTGATGCAGATCACTCCCATTCATTCATAATTGAGGATATAGTTAACATACCATGTCCTCAATTATGTAGAAACACTCAGCGATCACTGATCACTTACTGTTTGTAACTTGCTCTCTTCTCTGACACGCTGTCACAGGAGGCTGATCGAGCAGTGTAGAGAGGAGAGCCCAGCCTCCTGTGACAGCGCGACCTGTCTCCGCCCACACACCGATCTGCCGGACTGTGATAGGCGGCTGAGCGGTGTGGGAGGAGACGCCGGCCGCTCACAGCGCTCTCCTCATGCAGAGCTCGGCAGCCTGTCACAGTTTCTCTCCTCCCTGCTCGGACACAGAGCAGCGCCCAGCGGGGAGTAAAGAAAGCAGGGATGCGCCAATGTATCGGCAGGAAAATGGCACTTTTGGCATTATGCCAAAAGTGCCATTTTCGGCCGATATGTTTCAGTGCATCCCTAACAACAGTTGTTCTGCACGAGCACCAGCCAAGGCATTGGCCTATACACATACACCAGAGCAATGAAGTAATAAAATTAACTAGGATCACAGTAATACAGCATGTTTTTAATCTCAGGTGCCCCACTCAATATGGCAGCCGCTTGAGTGGGGCACCTGAGATTAATAACGTGCTGTATTACTGTGATCCTAGTTAATTTTATTACGTCATTGCTGTGGTGTATGTGTATAGGGCAGTGCCTTGGCTAGCGCTCGTGCAGAACAACTTTCTTGGGCAAACCTCTTAGTTCTAAGGAAACCGGAAGACAGGCTGTCATAGAACTCGATATGTTCGAACTTTCGATCGAACACCGGTCGCAATTGCCAGTGTCACCCACATCATGTACACAGTACACACGATTACATTCTATGCAGCTTACTCACTCACTCTCCGGGTCCTCATTCACCTGTATTAGGGAAGAAGCAACAAAATGACATGTGACCTAACCAGGACCGGCCTCTGTTCTCTGATTGGTTGACAGCTTCTGACGATCACAGTTTTAGGCTCCAATTCATTCCAAGTCAATCCAAGATTACGCAACTCCACTTCAAAAGATGGCGACATACAGTCCAAGTTGTGAATCTTATATAGTTCCTGCACAGACATCGCTAAAAAATCCTCGGCTGCCAGAACTGCCATACCCTAACATGGCTGATAAATGACTGGCTCCAGAATGAGCATGCTCAGTACAATCGTGTGAGAATGTCGGCCATTTTCTTGTAGCCCGAGATTTCTCACTGCTTTGCAAGTTGTATAACTGCTAATATATTTAAAGCAGTTCTTCTGAAGCCTCGGTCTTTTGTAACAGATATATCCCTCTTGCCCCCAAAATCACTAGGCAATTATTGATTTTTTTGCCACAATACCACTAAACAACAACATTGTCTTCATGTATATGGCATAGGGGCTACCTCCGTTCAGCTTTACATGTGTATGTTGTAAAGCTCGAAGCTTGCTCCTCATAGACTACAATCTCAATACAAATTAGTAGACCAAACTTCAGATTTTAGCCCATCGTGGGAGTGAGTTTGGAGTGGTGACGGCGCGTTCGAACCCATAGCGACCCAGGCGGCCCGCACGGCATCAGGGGGGTGTCCTGCCCGGGCCCCCCTGTGCCCGGGCCCCATATCGGCCGCCTGGGTCACTATGGCTATTATTACAACACACACACAGGGACCATGGGGAACAAAAGTAGTCACCCACCAGAAGGAAGGACATTGCCGGCACCAATTCAGAGATGATTTGAGGATCTATAGCCTAGTGATACACAAATAAGATGCATTTGTGGTAATAGTACTAGGGTTCCCACCTTTTCTTCAAGTGAAACCCAAACACTCTATGGCCGCGCGCAGCAATTTGTAAAACATTTTTTAGAATATAGAGGAGAGAGCGAGGAGAGGCAGCCAGGGGAGAGAGTAAGGAGACCAGCTATAGAGGACTACAAATCCCAGCAATTCATTATATAGCAATGCAAAATAATATGACGCTACATACTCTGTGTTATTCTGGGTTGGCGCCCTGATGTCTCCGGGTGGCCTGTGCGGGCTCTTTTAGATGGGCTGTGCGTCTCTCAGATTGGCTGTGCAACTCTCAGGTGGGTTGTGCAACTCTCAGGTGGGCTGTGTGACTCTCAGGTAGGCTATGCAACACTCAGGTGGACTGCTTGGCGGCATTCAACTATTCACTCACTGCCATTCGGCCCCTCTGCGAATAGGGGCGAATGGCAGCAGGTGAACCAGATGTTGGATCGACTGAGTCGAACTGCTTCTACAGAGCATGTTCGGCAGACCGGATGCAGCCAATGTATGGCTGCTTTTAGCTGATGGACGGTACTGTGTTCGGCTCAGTTCACTTCAGCTCGGTTATTCACTCGGCTGCCTTAGGGAGCTGAGTGAATAACCGTCATGGTTTAAATTTTAGTACAGTCATTATGCAATTTAATGTATCAGAAATATCCACTAGATGTCACCCTAATCCAGCATTATAACATAAGCATACGAGGATCAGATGGTGTGTAAGTGCCCTTTCACACAGGCTTTCCGTTAAGGTCTGTCTGTCAGTTTATTAGGCAAACCTGATTGGAAGCCCAATGTTAGTATATGAGGAACTGGATCTAAACAGACAGGCATCCATTTATATCTGGTTACTTCCAGCTCCAGCCAGGTCCAGAAAGAAAAATGTTTCAGAGTTCTGTTTTGCCAGACCTGATTGTGCCGGATGGGGGGTAATCTGATGTGAACAGACACAAGTCCATTTATATCCGACTCCTCATAGACTGACTAGGGTTGCCACCTTTTCTTCAAGCGAAACCCGAACACTCTAGTGACACGCGGACATATTTTTGGGGGGAGAATGAGTTGTGGCTTATTCATATGTAAATAGCACCACCCATTAATATGTAAATATCACAGTTGAGACTATTTTCAGGGGGAGGGGCATGAAACCCGGACACAGCATTCAAAACCCAAACTGTCCGGGTGAATCCTGGACAGTAGGCAACCCTAAGACTGACATGGGTCAGTTGTGACATCCATTGTGATCAGCAGTGGATCCGTGCGAAAGAGATCAGACCATCTGAAAGGGAACTAAGGAAAGTTATCATTATGTATAATCAGTTTATAGTGCACATGCAGGCATCTACAACAGTCATATACACAACACAGACATATGGGACTACAATAATTACATATAACCCATAACCAACACAGGTACGTAAAAAGACTTGCAATGGTCATTCTCATTTAAGAAAAAAAAACCTTGTTAAGCTAAAATAAATTATGTGGTATAAGAACTGAGCTTTGTGGGCCATCATAGAGGTATTATGTACACAGTTACACATTTCAATAACAAATGATTCTTAAAAATTTGAAGCTCTCTGATTAAAGTGAAGTAAATAATTCCTTTCAAGTGAAATGCATACCTTGTAAGAGTTTTAGCAAATGTTATAGCAAATTTGTAAGTGTTGCCAACTTGCCATCACTTTTATCACATTTAGTGATGCACCGATACCGATACTGTGTATTTGCACGAGGAATTCCAATTATCTAAAAAAAATACGACGACACACCGCTGTTCTTTACCGGAAACACTTTATTCCTCCTTCTTATCCAGTATATATCCAGTCTCATAGCTTCTCCGCCTCTACTGTTGCCCATCTCTAACACGTTTCACCCCTTGGGGTTTATTCATAGATTAGTGAAATGTGTTAGTGGTGGGCGAAAGAAAAAGCGGAAAAGCTATGAGATTGTATACTAGATAAGAAGGAGGAATAGTGTTTTCAGTGAAGAACAGCAGTGTGTGATCATATTGGTTGGAGATATACAGTATGAGAGAAGCAAAGACGTGCTTTTGCTGAGCTCCCAGTTGAGGGCTAATGGAGAATGTGAGCGCTGATCTGTCTTGTTAATATTACAAGGAAGAACTCCATTGTTTTCAGTAGCTCCTGTTCACACCTGAGCATTCTTTTTTTTTTTTATAAATTCTTTATTTAAGAACGTATATCATATACAAACAAAAATGGGCAATGAATCACAATGATGTGTAAACGCGACCACCGCATACGGAAACATTAGGCCCCATTCACACTGAGCGATTCGCAAATCGCGCGTTTGTCGCGCGATTTGCATTTTGCGCGTTTGTCATGCGATATCGCGCAAATGGTTGCATTGAGCAACCTAGAAACGCGGCAAAATCCGCTCCAAAAAGGGTCCTGCTGTAGCGACGCACGACCCGCGACGCACGACCCGCGACAGCGACGGAGAGAGCCCCATTGAGATGCATTGGAGAGCGATATCGCGCGGATTACCACGCGATAAATCGCTCTGTGTGAATGGGGCCTTAGACAGGCACATGGTAAACATTCGGTAGTAATGTCTTCCGACTAAACAAGAGCGGTAATTCAATCTCCGTCGGCTCGGCACCACCGCTGCACCCTTCTATATGTATTAGGGGCCTAAGCTTTTAAAATAGATCGGCGTGGCTGACAGAGCCTGACGTCAACAGAAAAAAATCCAGAAGGGGGATGAGGGGAGACAGAGGGGAAGAAGGAGGGGAGAAAAAGGGGTGGTAAAAAGGAACGAGCGGAGGCAGAGAGAAAAGGTAGGAAAGGGTCGCCTCAGTAGCCTTACTCCAGGAGACTCAGGTATTCCGGGGAGGAGGCAAACTCATCCCACCAAAACCAGGTAGAGCAGAACCGGGCCACCGTCCCTCTGAGAGAACTGGTGAGGTCTTCCATCTGCCTTATGTCTCGGATCTTGCTAAACCAAAGCTGAATGGTGGGGGAGAAACCTGTTTCCATAGAGCCAGGATACATGTTCGGGCCGCATTGACCAGGTGGATTATCACCGAGCACTTGTATCCCTGTACAGGGCTCTGATTATTGTGGAGCAGAAAATAGGAGGGGGATTTGGGAATATGTGAGTCTATGAACCTCTGAGTAATGAAATGGACCCAGGACCAGAACTCCTGGAGGGATGGGCAGGACTAAAAAATGTGACGCATGCCCGCAGTGGAGGAGCCACACCTCCAGCAGCGGTCACTAGAGTCAGGGAAGATTTTGCGTAACCTCTGGGGTGTACGCCAACGTGTCAATATTTTGTATCCCGATTCCTGATACCTATTGCTTATGGAAGACTTCAAGAAGAGCGACACTATTCTGGATCTCTCGCTGGGATAAAAAGAAGTCCCCAGCTCCTGTTCCCACTCCTCAAGGAAAGGTAAAGGTAAGTCACAGTCAGGTGCAAGTAGCAGCTGATAGCACAACGAAAGGGCTTTTGAAAGGGGCCCCTAAGAGATACATTCCCGTTCGAAGCTCATAAGAGGCGGGCCAGCAAAACCGGACGAGGCAACGAGGAAAGGAAATGTGCTAATTGAAAATGGCACACCAAAGGAGCTAAGATAGGGTCCACTGCTATCTCGCATAGTGACGGCCATTTGGGTCCTTGAAGAAAGTGACAGGCTCTAATTAAATCCCTGTCACCTAGCTGTAGAAACCTAGGGTCCAGGAGGAAAATCGGGGGACCCAATTACAGGGAGGATCGGGGAGGGGGAGAGCAGTCTAGAGTCGAAAATCACTCGTGCTACCTTCCACGTCGGACCGAGCATTGGGTGGGAAGGAAGTACCTGAGAGACCTTAGGGCACCAAGGAAGAGTCCTAAGGGGCAACAGAGAGAAAGACTGTTCAAGGGGCACCCACGGCTTCAGAACAGTATAATGACACCAATCCAGGATACGCGTATGGTGAGCAGCTAGATAATAGTAATGGACATCCGGTAGAGCTAATATCCAATATCGGTTGGGAAGGCAGAGAATGGAGTGACTTATTCTGGCTGGTTTAGCTGCCCGGACAAACCTCAAGATCAGGGACTGGACCGACGCAAAGAAACCTCTCGGGACCTAGATGGGCAACGC